TCTCTCTCCCGGGGGAGCTCCCAGTCCCCCCGCCAGGCGCTGGCCTCAGCAATCAGTGTGGGGCAGAGCTGGCAGGGCGGCCTCCTAATCTTTGACGTCAAACTTCTGACTCCTCTGCCAAAATGCAGGTTTTTGGGGTTTGGTTGTTTTGTTTTGGTTTTTTTTTCCTCCCCCCCACCCAGAAAGAAAACACTCTGTTCCTGCCGCCTCCCTCCTGCACCCAGACCTGCCCCGGGGGGGGGGTTGCTCCCCCAAAACTTGTCTCAGCCCTGGGTTTTTGTGTTGGATTTTTCCCTCTCCTGGAGCTTCGGCTTCAGCTCCTCTCGTGGCGGGGAAGGGGGTTTTTAGAAGTGGTTGGGTGGGATGGAGCCCCTCTCTGGCCACAGGGGCTGGATGTAGCCCCCCCTGGGAGCAGCTGAAGCCCCTAACCCCCCCAGCACCCCCTCATCCATCCACCCTGCACGGGGAAAGCATCCCGCATCCCGCATATTCCTTTTGGGAATAACCCCCCAAAACAGAGACCCGTTCGGCTGTGCCAGGTCCTGGGGTCAAAACCCTTGGAGGGGGGGGGTCTCCATCCGGCTGCATCAGACCCCGGGATCACCATCCCTGGGCGAAGGGACCCAAAAGTTGGGCTCTCTCCGTGTCCCTCTCCTCGGGCTCCCGAAATCCCGAGGTAGGGATGGAGCTGTGCTGTGAGAAAGCTCTATTTTTTTTTTTTTTTTTTTAAATTTTAATATTTTTTAATTTGAAAAGCGCTGGGGCAGCATAAAATAAATAAATATAAGCCTTTTAGTCACTCCTGGGGCTGCGCTGGCTGTGACTCAGGCCAGGAGCTGCGAGTCAAGCCCCTGCTTGTCAGCGTCCCCGCAGCGAGGGAGCCACAAAAGGGTCTTCCCGGCACCTCAGAGGTGAAGACCCAAAAAAAAATCAGTCAATGGGTAGCATCTCCAGGTTGTTGCTTTATTATTTTTTATTTTCTATTTTTTTTTTCTCTTTTCTTTAATTTTTTCTCCTTCCCCTGGTGATGTCCTGGGGCGGCCGCCCGGCGGGGAGCGTGTCCGCCGACGGTGCTGCTTCGCCGCCGTGGGGAGGGGGGGTTTGGGGGGGGTCCGTGGTGAAAGCAGGGGGTCGGAAAAGCCCCCGGTGGCGTGTGGGGCCGATCCAGGCGGCCCCTGCCCCGTGGAGCTAAATCGCCTTGCCTTTGCCAGGCTAGAAGTTCTTTGAAGAAGCTGCGGGAAGACTTAAGTAGTAAACTTGAGAGCAGACAAGGAGATAAACAGCACGCACAGGTAACGGGAGCCTTCCCCGGGCCTTAAGTGACGTTGGTTTATTAAAAAGGTGTCGCTTTCGGGGCCGGAAAAAATGATAGAAGGGGACCTTAGAGACGGAGGCGTCGGTGGCAAACGGTGGCCACTGTTTTACCAGCCCGAAACCCACCCCCAGCGTTTAATGAGGAGTCAGGAGAGCGAAACTGCCCAAATTGCATGTTTGTTTGCGGAACCCTGGGGTTGCTGCGGTGCCCCCCCTGTGCCCCCCACATCCCCCCACCCCAGGGCTGTCTGCATGCCGCCTGCGAGGGCTGCGGGGTCCCCGTCCCCCTGTCCATCCGTCCATCCCTGTCCCTCTGTCCCTCCCCCCCGCAGGTGGTGCTGGACCAGCAGAACGGGACCTGGCTGAGCCCCCCCGAGAGGCTGCGGGGCGACCCCTGGGAGGAGCAGGTACGGAGCCAAAAACGGGGGAAAAGGGGGCGTTTTAGGGCGACGGAGAGAAACCCGGGGTTGAGCTCGACGCCTTCCTCCCAGCGGGGAATTTCAAAGCAGCTCAGCACGGGATGGGGCGCTCCTGCAGCAGACTCTTTATCGGGGTCAGATCTAAAGGGAGCAATAAAAATGTGCATAATGTTTTGTTTTGTTTTTTTTTTTTAAACCCCTGCGCAGAAGAGGTAACAGACGTCCTCAGCTCGTAAATATTTCTCCAGCTCCTCATCTTTTTTTCCCCCTCGGCCAGGGCAGATGCTCTGGGCTGGGCTTGCCCTGGACCTGGTTGATGGGGTTTCAGGTTGCCCAAGCCAGGAGCTGGGTGGCATCCTGCAAACAGGGCTTGTTTGGGTGGCAACCGTAGGGCCACCGCGCGCGTTATCGGCCGGGCTGGGAGTGTGGGAGGCGAGGAGAAGGGAGCACCTTTCATTTTTTATCCTGGAGAGGTGTCACCAGGGCTTCTGTCACCGGCAGCTCTGCCCACCTCGGGTTGGGGTGGTGGGGAGGGGGCTCCTCGGGTTCCCCCCCGACGGCTCATCCCGCTCCGTGTCTCCGCAGGAGCCGGCGTGGGCCGGGGAGGACGTGGAGACGCTGCGGCAGACGGCAAAGAGGCTGTTTGCCAAACTGCAGGAGGCTGAGAAGCACCATCAGCTGGAGAGGGAAGCCTTCGAGGTGACCGCGCCGCACGCTCCTCCCCTGGGGAACCCCCGTCCTTAGTTTATTTTAGTGTTTTTTCTTTCCTTTTGGGAAGTCTGAGGAGCTGCGTGGGCACAGCAGCCCCTTCTTGGGGTTCTAAAACCCACCAGGGGGGTCCAGATCTGGCCAAGCAAACTGCCTCCCTGGTGGCCCGGGTGACTCCCAGTTAGAAATGCTTTCCCAGTTTAAAAAAAAATCACAGAAAATCAAAGCAGCGGCCAGGTTGGAAGGGGGTTTTCCCCAAAAAAACTTTCCAACTGTAGCCCAGGGGGCTGTTTTGGGGGGAACAGGACCACCGGGGGGTCCTGGCTGGTTGAGTGGGGACCATCTGTGGTTCCCACCGACAGTGGCACTGGCCATCGTGGCCAGCTGTGGCCATTGTGGTCTCTCTTGGGGCTCAGCCCTGACCTGAACCCCAAGTCTCCTGGCCGAGCTGCAGCCCCCGCTCCCCTCCCTCGTCCCCCGGTGATTAATTGTCCCCCGGTGATTAATGGTCCCCTTCGGTCTGTTTTCGGGTGATGGCTCACGTCCCGGATGAGCCGGGTGACACAGCCCCAAGCCCCGGTGACAGCGGTGACAGTCCCTCCTCCCATCCCGTCCCGCAGACCAAACAGGTCCCGGGAGCCCCGGGGGGGGTTCCCCACAGCGGGGAGGGGGGTGACGGGGCCTGTGTCACCCGGGGAAGTGGGTTTGAGCGGCCACCTCTTCCTCCGGCACGGGGATGGACGGATGTCCATCTGTCTGTCCACCCACAGCGGTGGCATGTGCCCCGGGGACGTCCACCCTTGCGTAGAAGGATGTTGTGTGGGTTTGGTGGCATTTTGGGGACTTTTGGCCAACTCTGGTGCTGGCTGTGGGCTCTGAGCCCTGATGGAGATCCCCAGGGGTGGCGGGGACGGGCGTTTTGGGGACGGACGGGCGTTTTAGGGATGGATGGGTGTTTTGGGGACGGGTGTTTTGGCAGCCCTTGGTCCCACCAGCCCTTTCCAGATGTTCTCCATGTTCCTTGTTGTCCAAGCCTGCTCTCCAGCCGTCCCGGGGGACACCCTTGTCCCCTCTCCTGAGTCCTTGGCTCCGTTCCTTGTTGTCCAAGCCTGTTCTCCAGCCATCCCAGGGGACACCCTTGTCCCCTCTCCTGAGTCCTTGGCTCCGGTGCCTCCACACAGCCCTGGAGCTCCGGTGGCTGAGAGCCGCCGTGTCCCTGGCGGGCTCCAGGAGCCTTTGTTGCTCCGGCGTCGGGGCGCTCGCTCCTTTGAAGTCCTTTGAAGCCGGGGCAGCTTTTCTGAGGATTCTCTTGCTCCCCGAAGCGCGTCGGGCTCTTTGCTGAGAACGCCCGGGTGCCTTCAGGAAAAATCTGCTTGCCAAGGCTTTGGTGGGGCTGAGGATGGGGGGTGGGCACCATGGTGCCTTCAAAACCTCGCTGGGGAGGGGGGTGCTGCGGTGTTGGGGGTCTGTGAGAGTGGGGGGTAATGGTGGTCTGTCGTCGGCAGCGGACGGTGTCGCAGTACCGGGAGGAAGCGGAGCAGGCGGGCTCTGCCCGGAGGAGAGCGGAGAGGAACGCGGCGGAGAAGGAGGTGGAGGTGGAGGAGCTGCAGAGACTCCTGGCAGGGATGGAGAAGGTACCGGCGGCCCCTCACACACACCCCCGGTGGGGATGGTGGGATGAGCAGAGCTGCACCTATTTGGGGTGGAAAATGGGAAATCCCTGGAGGTGATGAGTTTGGCAGTGCTCAGCGCAGACCCCCTAGGGGGGACGCGGCGGAGAAGGAGGTGGAGGTGGAGGAGCTGCAGAGACTCCTGGCAGGGATGGAGAAGGTACTGGCAGCCCCTCACACCCCCGGTGGGGATGGTGGGATGAGCAGAGCTGCACCTATTTGGGGTGGAAAATGGGAAATCCCTGGAGGTGATGAGTTTGGCAGTGCTCAGCACAGACCCCTGAGGGGGGTCTCAGGCTGGGTACCCACCACAGGGAGGGTTTGATTTTACCCAGCGTTGGGCAAAGCTGCTGGGAAGGGCTGCAGATGGGCAGGAAGGTCTGGAAGATCTGTGCAAAGCCTTCCAGGCGTCCTGGGAACCAGCACAGTCTAGACAGCCCCGTCCTCCTCCTGGTGGGGGCATTAACGCAGCCTCCAGCCTCCATTAGCAGTGTTTAATTGGGGTGGTTTGTTGTTTTTTCAGCCATGTTCATGCTCACAACGACATTAAAGCCCTAAATCCAACGGGGAGGTGTGAGCAGAGCGCGGTGCGGGGACGGAGCTGGGTGGGTGCCGGTATTCCCAGGGGTGGGATGTCTGTCGTCCATCTCAGGCTGCTCCCGTCTGTCCGTCCCCTGGAGGTGATGAGTTTGGCAGTGCTCAGCGCAGACCCCCTAGGGGGGTTTCAGGCCGGGTACCCACCACAGGGAGGGTTTGATTTTGCCCAGTGTTGGGCAAAGCTGCCGGGAAGGGCTGCAGATGGGCAGGAAGGTCTGGAAGATCTGTGCAAAGCCTTCCAGGCGTCCTGGGAACCAGCACAGTCTAGACAGCCCCGTCCTCCTCCTGGTGGGGGCATTAACGCAGCCTCCAGCCTCCATTAGCAGTGTTTAATTGGGGTGGTTTGTTGTTTTTTCAGCCGCGTTCATGCTCACAACGACATTAAAGCCCTAAATCCAACGGGGAGGTGTGAGCAGAGCGCGGTGCGGGGACGGAGCGGGGTGGGTGCCGGTATTCCCAGGGGTGGGATGTCTGTCCTCCATCCAGGCTGCTCCCGTCTGTCCGTGCGTCCTTCCCTCGCCTGTAATTTTGGGTGCTGGTGTGCAAACACCCCCAGTTGGACTTGGGGAGCCCCAGGAGCACCCTGTTGCGACTTGTTCTCCCCCGGCGTGTAACTGGGGCTCTGGCTCTGCCGCAGGAGCACGGCGGCCTGCTGCTCAAGATGAAAGAAGGCGAAGCGGAGCTGGCGAGGCTGAGGAGCGTGGAAGGTGACAAGCTGGCCCAACAAGACCGGTGAGGCTCCGGGGCCTCCGGTGAGGAGGTTGCCAACCCTCCCGGAGGAGCAAGCCCACGCCGCCGGGTCGGGGTGTCAGCTCGCCGGGGCAGGACGGCACATTCCTGCGCAGGGCGTGCTTGGCTCCCCGGCTTGCAAAACAGCACCCTGCTTCCCTCGCAGCTGACTAATCCCCAAAATACCTCCCGCAGCTTTGCTTTCCTCCCAGAGATCCGCGGCCGGGGCTGCCCGGGGACCTCCAGCGGCCCCCGCTGCCGGGACTGGGAGCCCGGGGCAGGTCCTGCCCTGCTCGAGGAGCCCCCGGGAGCTCCCCGAAATGTTGGAGTGTTTCCAGCCAGCCGGCATCCCTGTGCTCCAGGGGCTAATTGGCAATGGCTCGTTTCTGGAAGGCCTTGTTTTGTGGCCTGACTCTTCCTGATGTTCCTGTGGCCCTGCAGTCTGTGGTTGCCAGCCTTTGTGGCTCCTGCCTGAATAAGGCTTTGTCTCTGCCTCTCCTTACCTTGTCTAGCCAAAATATTTCGGCTGTGGAGGAGACCTGGCTGATAAAAGCCGCTCTGGGCAGAGGAGGGTGGGTGCTGCCTCTCCGGGAAGCTGCCCGATGGCTCCTGGACACCGTCCTCTCCTTTTCCCAGGTCGGCCCAGCTGGAGAAGGAGGTGGCCACGCTGCGGGAGAAGATCCACCACCTGGACGACATGCTGAAGAGCCAGCAGCGCAAGGTCCGCCAGATGATCGAGCAGGTGAGACCCGAGGGGCTGGGGATGGATGGATGGGGCAGAGCCGTGGGGGGATTCGGGGGAGTGTTTAAAAAAAAGGAGAAAGTAAAAAAAAAAAATAAAATCTCTTAAGCTGCTTGGAGGCAGAGAATTGCTGGTTTCTGGGGACGAGATGCTTTGCCAACCCAAGGGCCACCAGCTGAAAGGACAGACCCGGTGACAGCCCGAGGGGCTGCGGCAAGGGCTGCCCTGAGCCAGGGAAGGGAAGAAAAGGAGAGAAAAAGGAGAGCTCTGCACCCGGCTGGGCCTGCTGAAAGAGTTAAATCATCTCAGACGGCGCGAGCAGAGGCTCCTTCACCCGGGGCTTAATTCTCAGACTTAATTTGAGGTGCTTTTTTGGGGGTTGGTTGTTATGCAGACCTGGGAGTTAGTGCTGTGGGTGGTAACGGACAGAAGGGCGGCCGCCTGAGCCCTCCTTCCCCGGCCATTTCCCCAGCCCAGCCACACACCGGGAGGGATTTTTGGATATTAGGAACAAGTTCTTTACTGTGAGGGTGGTGGAGCACTGGAACAGGTTGCCCAGGGAGGTGGTTGAGGCCCCTTCCCTGGAGATATTCAAGGAGAGGCTCGACGAGGCCCTGGGCAACCTGGTCTAGTTGGGGGTGTCCCTGCTGACTGTGGGGAGGTGGGACTAGATGACCTTTGGAGGTCCCTTCCAGCCCAGACTATTCTATGATTCTGTGATTTTTCACCTTCCTTGAACGTTTCTCTTCCAGCTCCAGAACTCCAAAACGGTGATCCAGGCCAAAGATGGCATGATCCAGGAGCTCAAGGAGAGAGTCGCGTACTTGGAGGCTGAGGTGCGTCTTCGGGGGGCTATTTTGGGGTCTGCTCCGAGCTCACACCCTCTGGGTGAAACCCCCACAGTCCTTGCCCGTGGCCGGGTCCCTCCCGGGGATGAGCTTTGCTCTGGCTTTGTTTTTCTCCAGCTCCACGTAGGGAAAACGTGCCCTTCCCTCCGCAGCCCCGAGGGCTCTGCCCCTTCCCCGAGCTCGGTGCCATGGTTCCCAGTGCTGGGAGCAGCCGTGAGCTCGAGCCGAGTCCAAAATAATCTCATCAGGCGCGTTTCTCTGGCAGCAGAGCCCTTCTTGCTCACAAAGCTGCAGCTGAGCCCGTGCGTGTCAGAAATTAAAATTGCATTCCAGCCGCTGGGATTGTAACGAGTGTCAAATCTCTCTCCTTTTTTGGAGAAGAGCTGAGCCCACCTTGGCACTCGGGGCGTTTTCTTCCCTCCCCGGGTGACTTTGGTTTTGCTGATTTCTGCGTGGGGACGGAGTGTCCGCCCCGAGCCCAGGTGGAAACCGAGACCCAGCGCGAGGGGTTGGTTCCTGCTGGGGGTCTGGCAGGTCCCACAGCCCATCCCGGCTCCTCTGTGGATGAAATCCCCCTGGATTTCGTTTCCCCCAAGAAAAAGCTGCCCCCTCGGAAGCGGTGACCTTGGGGCATCCCTCAGCAGCCCACTGTCCCCTCGCTGACCGTGGGCTCTGTCTCTTGCAGAACCTGGAGATGCATGACCGCATCGAGCACCTGATCGAGAAGCAGGTCAGCCGGGGTGGCCACAGCTCCAGAGCGCGCTCCAAGTCGGAATATGTCAGCAGGTACGTGGGGATGGGGAGGATGTACCCTCCAGCCCACCCAGCGGCTTCATCTGCCCATCCACGTCTTGCCCAAGGCGGTGGGAGCCACCATCCAGGAGATGATGCTCTCCTGGAAGCCCGTTGTGTTACTTTGTCCTTGCAGAGAGGTCTCCTTTCCCATCTTCCTCCTCCGGGGGAGCAGAGGTGCCTCCTGTGGGCGGTTTTGGGGGGAGCCATCATAGACCAGGGCTGGGGCAGGACCCTCTCCCGCAGCTTTTCTGTCCCCAAAACCCCATCCCGTCCATCCTGGCTGAACAAACCCTTTTTTCTCTTGCAGCAAACGGCTGACGGGCCCCAAGCCGCTGCCTCTCATTCGAGTGGTGGAAACATGAGTCCTGAGGGCCGGTCCGAGCTGAAGACTCTCCCCTTGTTGTCGTTGACTGGATTTCCCTGCTTGACCGCCGTCCTCTGGCCCCTGCGCTGCCGAGGACAGACGTAGCCAGGGGGTGGTCCTGGCAGAGGAAGGAGGTTTGCGAAGCGCCCCACATGGCTGTCCCCGCAGGTCCCACGGATGCCAGTTTGGGGGCTGGGACCAGCGGCGTGGACTGGGGGGCTCTCTGGCTGGAGAGTTGGGCTCGCTTTCCCCGCTGGCTCCTGGGGTTGCTCCGGGTTGAAGGGTGTCATCCGAACAGAGCCCCCTCCTGCTTCAGCTTGCCAACGTGGACTTGGGGTTTTACCTTGGTTTTTTTGGTCAAAAAAGAAGAAAAAAGATTCACATTTTTACAAAGAAGAAATAAATCCTCCCGAAACTGGACTCCTTCCCACAGCAAAGCCCAACGCCTGACAGGTTGGGAGACTCCACCTCCGATATCTCCAGCATTTATCTGCCTGCTCCGGACTTGGCAAAAGGCTCACGTGGCCAAAAAAAAAAGAAACCAAACCCATCCATGTATCGCCGTGCTTTCCCCAAGAGCCTAGAGAAATTGTACCCGACGTGCGTGTAGCGCTTACCCCCAGAGGCCGTTTGGTTTGTTACCTGTATTTATTTTTAAAATAAATTATTGGTGTCTTCCGAGGACGTGGCGACAGGCGGGAGTGCTGCTGCCGGCCTCTGGGGGAGCGCGGTGGAGGACTGCCTCGTCCCACGGTTGAACTGGAAAACACCAACCACCTTCCTCTGGGTTTGACGGTTATTTTGCCCGTGGGGAGCGGAGCTGGGGTGCCTCCGGGAGAACCCCGCCACCGGGACACCAAACGTCACGTGCCTTAAATCCCTGTGCCTGGGAGTGGATGCGGGATTGGGGGGGGATTTGGTGTTTGGGGCTGGTGGGAGACATGGAGCTGTTGGAGCGGGGCTGGAGAGGTCCATGGAGATGCTGGAAGGGGGGGCTGAGAGAACTGGGGGGGTTCAGCCTGGAGAAGAGAAGGCTCTGGGGAGACCTTGGAGCCCCTTCCAGTCCCTCAAGGGGCTCCAGGATCAGGGAGGGGAGCCATGGGATGAGAGGGAAGGGCTTTAAGCTGAAAAAGGAGAGATTGAGGTTAGATTTTGGGAAGAACTTGTTTATTTTGGGAGTGGTGAGAGCCTGGCCCAGGTTGCCCCGAGAAGCTGTGGCTGCCCCATCTCTGGAGGGGTTCAAGGCCAGGTTGGAGGGGGCTTGGAGCAACCTGGGCTGGTGGGAGGTGTCACTGCCCAGGGCAGGGGGGGCTTTAAGGCCCCTTCCCACCCAAACCGTCCTGTGGTTCTATTGGGGTGTCTCCCTGGTGCTCCTGCTCTGTGGCCTGTGCCCCCACCTCCATGGTGTGAGGGGAGGGGGGCATGGAGAGCATGGCCCTGCCCTGGGGACAGGGGTGTCCCCCCAGCCCTGTCCTGGGGTCCCCCATGGCG